AAATTTCTAGTTTTTAGAAACATAGCTTTTTCTTTCGAATGTTAAATGTTAAACTTTTTTGAGACCACCCATCCCTCTTATCTAAGGGTCTGGATGGTCACCCTCTCCCCCCCTTATCTGAAGGTCTGGATCGGCCACTGATAGGTTTTCTGTCTATTAACAGATATTAAATCGCACAAGCACAAAGTGTTATGGGAAGACGGTAGCCTGCGTTTTGGCCACATCCCATTTGTTGTGGTAAATCACAAAGTGTACGACTGTCAGCATGGTGTGGACAGACGTGAGAGAGAAAAAAAGAAATCAAACGGTTAGTTTAATTTTCATATCGATTTTCCAATTTTTGCTTGTACCTCCGCCTGACATGTTTGTGTTCTTTCCTGTAGGGTGGTGACCACGCTTATCGAAAAAATGGAGCTGGCAAACTTCTTCAAGAGTCTAGAAAGCTCAATTGTCCTGCACAGGTACATTTGAGACAGATCATCACATTTCCAGAGTACAAGGTAAATACCAACAACAGTAATTACGGTGGATTACAAAATTAACCTCTAGTTAAGCTGCGTTTTTTGTGCTTTTATGTTATACAGTAACAGAAAAGACAGAGTGGCGTTGTAAGAGCCAGTCCAAGAAGCTACGGCAGGCCATAGAAGAAGGCACAAGAACATATGAAAGATGGATCCATGTACATCTTCCATCAGTCGATGAACATACGAATCACCCAACTGGAGACGTAAGCGTTTTAAACTTTTATCTGTTCAAAGTTTTTTATTACAATTTGCATGCGGGAGGTGTTTTACATGTAATAGTCAATAGTCTGTTTTTAATCCGAAAATATCTTGCCAATATTGTTTTGTTTTATTCATTATTCTTTGGTAGGCCGGCGGTCTCCATCAGCGAATCGATGGAAGGCTGGTGACCAAAATTCAAGAGCTCGTTTCTGCAGGCACAAGATCTGAGAAGGAGGTTCGTCGGCACCTTAAGATTTTTGTCCAGCGGGAGTTGCATCGAGGAAAACAAGAACCTCTGAAAACCAACCGACGGTTCTATCCCTCCAAAGCGACCATCCGCAGCCATATTTTCAAGTCAATTGTTAAGGAAAGGTTCTCAAAAATTGACCAGGAAGACCTTTCAAAGAAAGTAGAGCTTTGGAAAAAAACCTCACCCGATGACTCTTTCGCATATCACCCATACGCCACCTACGCAAGTGAAGAAGAAAGCACGCGACCTGAAGAGGACAGTGACGGAGGGGATGAGCCAATAATTAAGACATCCACAAAGGGGCTCTTGTTTGTTCATCAGTCAAAAGATCAGGGACGACTTTTAGAGCGATATGGAAACGAAATTTGTATGCTTGACGCAACTTACAAGACCACAAGATACAGCCTCCCTCTTTTCTTTGTTGTTGTCAAGACTAACGTTGACTATCAGATCGTGGGTTCTTTCGTTGTTCAAAGTGAGACGACTGATGCTATCTTTGAGGCGTTGTCCGTTCTGAAGTCGTGGAACCAAAAATGGAACTCTTCCTGTTTCATGGTTGACTATTCGGAAGAAGAAATGTCAGCAATTGGGAATTTATTCCCAGGTAGTTCAATAAGTAATTGCTTGAAAGAGTGGCTCATACATATATGGGTACTTAAAAACATTGATGTTGACGTTGCACTGGCAACTGAAACAATAGTGACGAAAAAGTCGCGTATAATCACTGTAATTTCCAATTGAATAGCTGGTCCGTGAGGGGGGATTACAAAAGGATACTCCGTCCCTAGGTCCGAACCGTTACCGTTTTAGATACAGCCTTTTGACCAAACCCTAACCATAACCCTTCATGGCTTTTTATATACCTTCCATTGAAAATATTGTATTAACATCAACGCACAGATGCATTTTTTGGTAAATAGCAGGGCACACTACGCACTTTATGTAGAGTTACCTCTTCAAAAAATTAGGCGGGTCACTTCAAGTAAAGCTCTTTTAAAATCCAGGAGCACCTGTAGATGGGAGTTTTCATTACTCTTTTATACCGTTAGCCTGAACAAGTCACCACATAATGAGCGATACAACGGGTTAATTTTGAGAGTTCTTTCCGCTAAGTTTTCCCACAATAATGTTTATACAACTTGTTTCTACAGAGGTTCAGATTTTCATCCGTGATTTCCACCGTGAACAGGCCTGGGAAAGATGGCTCGGTAAATCAAGCAATGGTATGGCGACTGTAGCCACGAGAGACTGCGAGTTTTTTCCTGTTCTTTATTTCTTCATGTTTTGCGTTGCGTAAAGTTAGTTTAATTAGTGCCTTTGTTATCGCGCTTGGAGTAGTCTTTTGTTAGCCTTTTTTATATGCGTATTCTTTCTGTATTCTAGTCTCGGCGTTGCGTTACGTAATCGTTATTGTCAATTTTTGTAAGTTCGTTAGGTTCATTATTTTCAGTCCAGTTTACTATAAAGTTTTATTTTTGGTTCATGTAAATCAGTCGCTTAGTTGTATCCGGAGTTGCCGTACAGA